CTCTCTCTCTCTTTAAAAAAAAAAGACATATGTAAGCTCATAAATGAAGAACAGAACTGGAATATCACTGTTTTGCAATATCTGATAATCAGAAATATTTAGCCACTGAGCATAACAGTTGCTAACAAATATTCAGTGCCTCTTGATGGAAATATACAACCCCACAGTGACATATTCTAGCCAAAATAAAATAAATCTGGTCAAGCATGTAGAACAGTACTACCCAATACAACTTTCTAACGGTGATCAAAAGATTCTATTCTGTACTGTTCAATACGGGAGCCACTAAAAAAACAGCTAGCGTGGCCAAAGAGCTTAATTTTTAATCTTACTTAACTAAAAAGCCACATGTGACAAGGGCTATCACACTGGACAGTACAGCTGCAGCACCAAATACCCATTTAGAGAAAACAGAGAGGACTGAGGAATGTTAAAACCCCTTGGTGATACATTCAGCAAAATCCAGACTGTTGGGAACTCCACAAAACAATAACCCATTTCTTTAACAATTAACTTGAAAGGACATAAAAAGAAATGGAGGGAAAATGCATCAATTAAAAAAGACTGAAAAACGTTGCCAATCAATTACAATGTGTAGACATCATTGTAGACCTGGTTAAGCAAACTGGCGGGGGGGGGGGGGAGTAGGAATTTATGAGATATTTAACAATAGTTCATGTGGGTGTGATCATGTATTTACCTATTAGAGGTACATTCTGAACTATTTATACTCGCAATACAGTCAGGCATTGCTTAATGCCAGGGATATATTCTCAGAAAACCTTGTTAGGCAATTTCATCATTGCGCGGGCATCATAGAGTGTGCACTTACACAAACTAAGCTGGCTAAGAATCACCAGACATTGTAATCTCCGGGGACCATAGTTGTATATGTGTGTAGTCTGCAGTTACTCCGTGCATGACTTAGAGTGACGTCTGAGATTTACTTCAAAGTCATGTGTGAAAGGATAAAGGGAGGTATGTATGGCAAGACCGGTCAAGGGCAATGGTTGTTGGGACTAGATGACGGATACATACCGCTCTGCCTTTGAAATTCTCCATAATTAAAAGTGATGAGGAAGAAAAAGAGTACTCCAAGTTCATATATCTGTCACGACTGGAAAAGTCACACTAGAGAGATAGGTAAAAGACTGAGAGTACTTTCAGAGAATTCTAAACTCAGCTGTTTTGTTTTTGGATGCTGAGGATTGAACCCAGAGTGCTTTACCACTGAGTTACATCTCTAACTCTTCTAATTGTTGAGACAGGTTCTTGAAAAGTTGCTTAGAGCTTCGCTAAGTTGCTGAGGCTGGCCTCAAACTTGTAGTCCTCCTGCCTCAGCCTCCTAAGTCACTAGGTTTATAGGCATGTACCACTGTGTCCACTAAACTCAATTTCTTTTACCCACAGGAGAGGCCGAAGGAAGAGAGAAAAGTTCAGGATGGATAGAACAATTTCACCTGTTAGTCTGTATTTGATGCTGGATTCTCCTAGCCACACTGGGGAATAAATAATATCAGTCAACTGAATTAATTCCAAACTTTGTTTCTGATAAGACTCTGGACAAAGGTAATCAGTATTTTCTGGGTTTCTCTAACCCACAGCTGGAGATCTACAAATGGTTCTATCACAAAAGGAATCAAAGAGACCTGGCATGAACACTGTCCTAGATATACGTTATCTCCCCACCTCAATCTGTTTTGTAAAATTACAGAATCCTTGGTATTAAAAAGACAGTTTCACAACTTGCCCTGAGGTCCACAGTCAAAAGGCAGCTGGGATGGATCACATTTCCTAACCTGCCTCCAGGACTCCTTTTCTGATCCCCTCACCACATAAACAAGAGCAGGTTGCCAAATCCCAAGTCTCTATAGCAGGCAACACAATGTTAGACCTTAGTAGACCTTGCTGTATGTCACTGTCAGCCAACTCCCTGTTAGACAGTTTGTGCATGCACAAAAGTGCTAAATATTTTGCGTTTGTTATCTAACTATTTAACCAACACCATGCTTCCAAGGCCAGTTCTATTATTTCCTCATTTTACAAATCAGGGAAGAAGCTTTGAGGAAATAAACTGTCTATGAGGACAGATGGTAGGATTTGGTTTTCCTTCTCAAAAACCTTCCAGAGCTTCTTCTCCAGGAGCATCCATGCTTCTTGGCTTGGCCCCCTGAACCATCTCACTCTGTCCTCCTTTTCCAACCTTATACTTCCAACTCTCCCCAACTGCTGCATCTCCTATCATTTAGACACCAGAGCTCTGAGTCTTTTCCTTACTCAAGTTGTGGGGCTCAGCCCATACCACTCTAAAGCCTGCCCTGCCAGCAATTTCCACAGCCTTCAAATCCATGTCAAGCAAACTTCCCTATTTGGAAGTGATCACATCTTTGCCTATGCTTGGAAGTGATCACATCTTTGCCTATGCTTCTGGTTGGACATTCATTCTCCTATAATAGTTAATAGTATGTATGTTTCCCCACCAACCCAAACAGTATCTACAGTTACTGGGCACATACCATGTTGTACCTTTAACTTATTTATTCTCACAACTATCATTGTTAGCCCCCATTTTACAGATAAGGAAACTGAGGCCCAGAGGATGAGCAACTTGCTCAAGGTCACAAGCTAAGAATTGACAAAGCTGGAGCTTAGATGCTTCACCACAACTGAAAGAGGATTCTAGAAGGAACACCCAGATGGGAGCGTTTTCATTGCCTTGCATACTGCAGGCACTCCATAAAGTAGGATTGTTTGTTGCCTCCCTGTAAAGGATACAATGGCTCAAATTTGCCCTTACTCCTATCATTAAAGCCCTCTGCCTAGTGAGGTATTAAAGCATGCCATCAGGCTGGGGACCCTAGCTCATGGTAGAGCACTTGCCCAGCATGAGGCCCTGGTTCCATCCTCAATACCCCTACCCCAAACAGCAATGCATCATGAATGGTCCTCATCCTTGAATGGCTTTCCTTCTCTTCCACTTAAGAAACTAATTCTTTTTTTTTTTTTTAATATTTATTTTTTAGTTTTCGGCAGACACAACATGTTTGTTTGTATGTGGTGCTGAGGATCGAACCCGGGCACACGCATGCCAGGCGAGCGCACTACGGCTTGAGCCCAAGAAACTAATTCTTAAAAGAAACTCTTTGAGTTTAGCATGCCTTGCAAAGAACTTTAGAATTGCACAACATGCTAAATTGTGGACAATTTGATCAGTCATTTGAAAACCCACCAATACCATGGCTGATATTCTAAAGGATCAAAGAATACTAATACTAAGATTTCTCTCTTTGAGTTAGAGGCAGACAGAAGGAACCCGAATGCTATCAGTAAATAAAAACTCCCTAGGAAACTATGGAGAGAAGGATCCTTGTAGACTGCACAAGAGCAAACTACACCATACACACCCTCCCAGCTCCCAAGAACATAGTGACTGATCTTGGAAATAATTGATTTATTCCCTTAATCCAGGGTTCCAATGGCGATATTTGCTTGGGTAAGGAAAGAAAGCCCTCAAATGTTAGATAAGGGACTAGATCTCTCTCACACCTCCCAGTTTCTCTTCAGGGGATTCTGGGCAATGTGGGGTGAGGGGACAGAGGGGCAAATTGGCTACAGTACCTCCCAAAACAACGGTTGTGATTGTCTCTCCAGCCTGGTGATAAATATGCAAGTGGGACACTTTGTAGAATTTCCCAAAGGGCAGAGCTACCAGCCACACGGCAAACCGTTCCCACCCACTTAACCCCACCTGGCCCAGAACCACCACAGGCCAGCTGACTTTGAACCTGAGCAACACTCTTTACGGCTAAATAGCAGGCGCAGTTGACAATATCCTTTAAAGAGGTCTTTCCTCCGGATTCTAGCTCTAGCCTCAAACCACAATTCATAACCAAATGCAACCCCGCCTACCCCTGAGTCAAGCCCCAGGAGCCAGGAATGTGCATGGGGAGAGGGACTGCCTCTCTCAGGAAAGTTAACCGCTGTTCTCACAACCCCCAGCTAATGCCTGTATTCTCCACCCCAATCTCCCCCACCCCCCTCTCCGGCCACGGTGGCAGGACCGCCCTAAAGTTATCACATACTTTGCAGAGTGGCACTGTAGCCCACCAAGCTAGAAACCCAGGTCAGGTGATTCATAAAACACCACCCCCTACTTCTGGCTGGCTATGAGTCTGTAGAACGGGATTCCTTAATCCTGGGGGGTAGCGGATCCTTTGAGCAGGTGATCATGGAACGTCTACCCAAAAAAGTGCACATGGGCACCTAAATAATGTTGCCTACAATTCTAGAATTCTTGATGGAGCGCCGAAGCACGACAGTAAAAGGGAAACAGACGCTCCAAACCACTGGGTTAAAGGCTCTAAAGAAATTCTTATGTGAACCCTTTTATCCATCAACTTAATTCACCAAGATTTGAGACAAACAACGAATCAAAGTGCCCAGTACAGGCCTCCCGTCTAAACACTCCACAATTGGTACTAGGAATAACTATGGTTGCAGAGGCCCACTGTGTGCTAAGCTGCCTCAAAACACAAAGGATATGAAACTCTAAATCACGTGGCGCAGGGGGCTGCGCCCCAGAGGATGGAATTTTTGAAAGCCCTCGTTCTTTTTTTTTTTTTTTTTTTTTTCCTGACCCTGCAATCCCAAAACCTGGTTATGAGTCAGGCCTTGTGCGTAGAATGGGCTGCTAAAGGGAGGAAGTGGTCCTTGATCCCTCTTGACAGTTCTAGAGGCCACTATCGGCGTCAGGCGGGGCCACCCAAGAGGATTGAGTCCGCTTTGGAAGCGGGTCCACTGGGCGAAGCGGCACCGGAAAGAGGACGCGCGGAGAAGCCCTGGCCGCCGCCCAGAGGCAGGTGCAGGAGCGGTGTGACCCGCCAGCTTGGGGCGCGGGTGCTGGGGTGCGCGGGCGGGCGCGGCAGGGAGGGGCGCCGGCCCCGGGAGCCCGACGCCAGGGCGTGGTGCAGGTGGCGGCGGGGGCAGAGTCGACACCGTACCTTGATTTTTGACCTGGCAACCGGGCGCTGCTTTGCTGCCAAGTGTCCATCTGGGTCCTCGGCGTCGCGGGGCTCGGGGGTTTCGCGCTCCAGGGCGCGCGGGGACAAGCTGCTCTCGGCGCCTCCAGGTTCCCCGGCGCTGCTGCTGCTGCCGCCGCCGCTGCTGCTGCCGCCGTCGCTGCGGCAGTCCTCGGGGGGATCGTGGAGCAGACAGCCCAGGACCACTGCAGAGGGAGGGAGGGGCCGCAACCGATAGACACACACACGCGGCGTCAGGCACGGGCGCCCGCGGCAGTTTGACCTGCGGGCGGTGCCGCAGCCACCGCCCCGCCCCGGACCTGGGCACCAGGCCAAGTGGGCAATGTCGCCGGGGTATGCGAGTAAACACCCATTTCGGCCCCTCGAACTACTTTGGGGTGCTGGGGTCAGATCCTTAGCCCCAAACCGGTTCCCACGAGGAACTGAGGGTCATGCGCGGCGGAGGACCCCGCGCGCCAAGTTTCTTGTGCCCGGGGAGGCGACTCCGACCTCTTCCAATCTAGCTTTAGAGGGGTTGGCGGACCTTCATGCACCACCACCTCCCTTGAGGACGTGGGATTGAATGTATCCCTTTTTGGTTTTCAACCTCCTTCCTGGGCCACCTCCGCCCGCGCGGCAGCCAACGGTCCTGCCGCCGGGCAATTAGAGGCTCCCACTAGGGGGAAGGGAGCGCAGGGTGTCCCAGGCTTCCCAGCCTCACTCCCCTCTTTTCTCCGCCTGGAAGACCCTAGCGTCCTCCGCCCGAAAGAAGGAGATGAGGTGGGGGGAACCCAGCCCCGACCGATGAGTACAGAGAGCTCGTCCGCCCCTTCCCCCACCCGGAGAGCCCCGCGCCCAGGCCCGGCCCCCGCGCCGCGCTCACCTGGGATGTAAGCGTCTGCCCTTTTTTCATCCGGGAGCTCATCCCAGCTGCGGACCGTGACTCCCGGGCTCCTCCTCTTCACCAGGAAGACTTTGGGCATGGTGGGGTCCCTTTGCCAGGCTGAGGCCCCCTCCTCTCGACTGCTTCCCGCTAGGGGCTGAGGTGGCGGCTGGGTCCCCAGCTCCCGGCGGTCAGAGCCCACCTTCCCGCCTCGCCTGCCCTCTTCCTCTCCCCCCCGCCGCGGCGTTGCCCGGGCCTCTCCCCCGCACTCCCGGAGACTCCCAGCCTCTGGGCTTGGCGACACCTAAGCCTTAAATCGCGGGTGAGACCACGCCGGGAAAAAAGTTTCATAAGGTGGAATAGAAAAGGCACCAGGAAACTTGGGAGTGAGCATGCGCCCTGCAACATAACGGTGTCAACAAGCTCGCTACCTGTCCGACCGGTTCCGGCGGCCGGGGCTGCCTGTTCCAGCCCTTCCTTAGGCATGAATGTTTGCAAAAGAATTTAACGTCTGATTCTTCCCCCCTCCTCTTTTTTAAAAAAGAAGGGCATTTTTTATTCAGCCCTCTGCCCCCTTCTCCCTTTACGTGCATCTCAGAACGAACTCCTCGAGGTAAACCGCAGGTCTGCTGCCTGGGACACCCCTCCCCCGAGTTAGAGCCTCCCGGGAGTTGGCCCCCACCTCCCGAGTGGATCTGTCTCAGACAAGCAAGCCAGAAAATGGCTCGATTTCTCTAGACCTTGTGGATCGCTCCAGAGGCTTGCTGAAATTTTGGTGGTCGGAAGTGGGAGGCGGTCGAAAGTCTCCTCGGGACTCTAACCTGGTAAAGGGGAACGTGAGGGTTTAAGCTTTCCGGTTGTCTACAACAGAATACACAGTAATAAAAAAAATTAAAAGGTAGCCTCTTTGGAATATGTGATTTTTACTAATTTGTGCCACACAATCTAAGAAAAACAAGGTTTGCTCCTTCAAAGCAACGTCCGCCTCAAGACCTTACATCCCAAGAGTCCCTTCACCCCAAATAAATACATGGTGGAAACAAAAGCCCAGTGCAGGTTATGCAAACGCAGCTTCAAAGCAGAATCTCCAGTTCTCGCCTACTCACATTATTGCCTCCCCTAACCACCTGATCCCCAAATTCTAAGACTAGAAAATGCATTTCAGGAAGTCAGGAACTGAGTGCAGTTACACCCTCTTTCTCCTCTTTACCGGGGAGGTGGCTGGAAAGTTTTGTTCTTATTTTTATTTGCATTTCTCTATCTACTTTATTCCTGGAAGGGGGAGGAAAAGAAAGAAGAGGGGTTGGTAAAAGATGTTAAGTTTCTAAGGGCGGTATGCTCATTTTGGGAGCGGCGCTGCCCCTTCCATAGCCCAGTTCCGATACGCCCAAGGCAACCTGCCCTGCCTGGTCATTGTAGGTGCCCCTCTCTGGGGTACCAGCTCCTGGGGGTTGCGGAGTGGGAACATCTGGCCAGAGGTGTTCTAGCGGCCGCAGCTCACCCGGCCCGCGGCCTCACCTGTCTGTAACCTGACCTGCTGAGCGCCCAGCCCAAGGGGCGGGGGAATCAACACAGCGGTTTTCCTGGTCTTCTTCCGCCTTGGAATGGCCTTTGGGGACACCGCAGCCTGGTAACGGATTTCTCGGCTTGGCTGGCGTATTCTCAAGGCGCGCGGCGAGGGGGCGCAGCTTTGCCGGGGTTGTGGAGCGGACAGGCGCGCCACGGCTCCAGACCTGCCTTCAAGTATTCGCCCTGTCTGAACTCCAGATTTTCTCCGAGAAAAACGATCCAAGAATGAAAGGGACTTTGATCCCTGTGAGCCAGAGGAGGAGGAGGAGGAAGACATTTCTACAGCAGCACAAGAAAGGAGGTTTCTTTCTTGGCTACAAGGCTGATGGCGCAGCTTCTGGGAGACTCTGCAGATGTATTTTTATCTGCTAACGAACTGGAGATTTGCTAGAAAGAAGGCGCTGGGTTGAATGAAAGAGTAAAAAAACGGGGGGGAGAGGGAACTCTGCCATCAGAATTATCCCTCATCTTCAAAAAATTTTAAAACCTCGTTGAAAATTCCTATTTTAGAAAAAAGGGCAGTCAACCCCATTAGTAAAGCTTTAAAAAAAAAAAGATTTCAAATCAATGAAAAGACCACTTTATCTATTTCTGTTACTTGTGAAGACTATAGAAAAAAATATATGCCACAATGAAACCACTATTTTGTATAATTATTATGCACCAATAAAAACTTTTTTAAAAATTTATAGAACAGTGGATATATATGCCTAGAAACCTCAAAAAACACAAATAAGTTTAAGGATTTGGAAAAGAAGAATAAGGGATATAACTATATCTATTCTATGATTATCGAATACACACTTATAATAGATGCCAAGTGTTTCTTTGGGAGAAAGAAATTCTAATAGTGTTTTCTTTCTTCTGTTTTTTTCATGTTCATACTTGGCAGGTATACAAAGAACAAACTTTTGTCTTTGTTAACTTTATTGTGAGTTCAGTTTTCTAAATACTATAGGAAAATAGAGTAACCTCTCAAGTAGGATTGAATGAACCCAATTCTTTAAAAAACCTCAGGCTTGAAGTTGGAGGAGACAGAAGACATGACAAGGTCTATACTCCACCATATTGGAGGTGAGAGTCCTGTACAGTATCCTTGAAATATGTATCCAGGTCTCTTAAATACTTTCATTTCACTATCAAACAGTGATCTATTCTCTGGTAAGATACCAATGATAGTTTTTCTTTCTACTATGTGGAAATCTTCTTCTCTCTGCTTCCATGTTACCTCTCATTTGGTTCTGGAGCTACTGAGACCATCCCTGTGTCCCTTTCTCATCCTGATAGTTCCAAATCCATGGCAGCAATCATCTGTGTTCTTACTTAAGACTTACTTTCCCCAGTAACGTAGAGTTGAGTCAAGTTGAAACCTGCTCAGTGGTATCCTTAGTGTGCATAGTAATAAGAAGAGGTTAGGACTATTCCTAAATTTTTTTCTTTTTAGTTTTTATTAATGTATAGTAAAGTACCGTGAAAATGGATGTCAGAAGTATACGGCCTGATATATATTTTTTAAGTATTTTTGAGTTGTAGATGGACACAATACCTTTATTTTATTTATTTTTATGTGGTGCTGCGGTTCAAACCCAGTGCCTTGCATATGCTATGCAAGCCCTCTACCACTAAGCTACAAACCCAGTCCCAGCCTGATATATTTTCTAAAAAACTGACTTCACATGTGGGAGCAGCCTTCAAGAAAAAGACAAGACTGCCAATTCTCATCACTCCTTTCAAAATCAGATCAACGTCCTTGAAGGTACCATAAGACAAAAAAGAAGAAATAAAGGTATAAGGATTCCAAAAGAAAAAGAAAAAAAGGATTATTTGTAGTCAGTATGATTGTCTACATAGAAAGATTTACCATAATGATGGATTGGATGACTTAGAATTAAAAAAAGCCAAAATCCCTAAATTCTTCTGCAAATTTAATACAAACCTCCAAAATACTTGAGAAAAAAAAAAAGTTCTTTATTGCAGAACTGACCAACTTGTCTTAAAATTTCTGTGAAAGAAAAGTCAAAATATTCCTGAAGGATAGATGCATAGACTTAATCAACTTGATACCAGTGGTAATTAGAATGGTGAGTGGGTGATGTTCCCAAGCCCCTCATTAAGGATGCACCAGGATACAAAGAATGTGCATCCAGAGCTCAGCTCAGCAGGAATCAGCCCTGAGTCCACTAGCCCTATCCCACCCCCAGCCAGGGATGTGCCTCGTGGGGACCCCTGGCCTGAGGTTTACGCTGTCTGTATACATACTCAGAAGTTTCCAAGATCTCAGCAGCTCCTCCGGAGCACGTTTGTGTCTGTGAAAGGGTGGGAAAGGAGGACCTTACTAACTCGAGTCTTTCTTGAGGAAGACCACCTGGTGTTTTCACATTCTCCAGCATCTCCTATCGTCCAACAACTTCAGTCTCATTTTCTTGGGAAATTGCTCCTTTTCCACTCAGCTAGTGCAGTTCTAGACAGGCTAACTCCACCCCTCCTGTGGGAGGTGGGCATTTAACTCAGTTAATTAGAGCTTCTGTCAACTTGGCCACAGTGATTGCTTCAAGGGCAGAATTGAGACCCAAACAGAACCAACTTTGGTTGAGATTCTCTTTCCCCTGAGCTTGAGGACAGGATGCGATATCAACCTGGGGCAGCCAACTCTGCTGCCAGCAGCCACCTGAGACTAATGACAAGAAGAAAGCAAAGCCAAGAGATAGAGTCCCCAATACAGTGCTATATCCAGCCCTGCCAGAAGCAAAATCCATCCCTGGAGTAGTCAAATTATTTTCTTTTGTCTTCCTCTCCCCTCCCTCTCCTCCTCTTCTTTCCTCCCCTCTCTCCCTCCCTCCCACCTTCCCTTCCTCCCTCTCCCTCTCTCTCCAGTTAGGGTGGTGCTTCTTCATTTGCTACCAAGTTTCAACTAAACTCTTATTAAAGTGATACCTGCTCTCTTTGTCCTACCAGTGACCCATGGAAAAGACACTGTATCCTTTTCCAATAAACTACAAGCTGGTTCTCCAAAGGCCACGGGAGCCCAATAACTTTCTAGCTTGTTCTTGTGAGACAGAGGATATGGCTCTGTACATTAAGGATATAGATAGATAGATAGATTGATTGATTGATTGATAGATAGAGATAGAAACAATTCTCCATTATTTGGGGGTAACATGAAAATATAAATGTAATCAAATGGCTAGGGAGTGATTTGATTATTATTGTAAGAATTACTGTTTTAATATGCTTAGGATGCTTAGAGTCTGAATGAATCCAGATTCACAAACTCAGGTGTGTAAATAATGTCATGTGATTTTATTTTAATTTCACTCCACAGTTTCACCCCAAGTGGTAGGCTTATAAAATAGCTGCCTTCTTTTCCCTCCCCTCCACATCTTATCCCCCAAAACGGGTGTATAGTTTCTTCCTGCTGTCTAGATCCAGAGCCTCTCTCTCCCTGAACAACCTCCCATTTCTCCCTCCATGGACATATGTCTACATCTTTCTCTTCCCCAATCATGAATTATATTTTTTTAAATACTGCAAGTGTGCTTGGTGCAGTGGCACACACCTGTAATCCCAGCAGTTCAGGACGCTGAGGCAGGAGAATCTTGATTTCAAAGCCAGCCTCCGCAATATGCCACAGATTGAACACAGAGGCACTTAACCAATGAGCCACATCTCCAGCCCTTTTAATTTTTTATTTTGACCAGAGTCTCACTAGGTTGCTGAGACTGGCCTTGAACTTGTGGCTGATCTCAAATTTGTGATCCTCCTGCCTCAGTCTCTTGGATTACAGGCATGTACCAATACACCCAGCTTGTGTTAAAGTGGAAGTGTCAATTGAGAAAGTTATTCTGTTTATTTGCTTTTTTTTTAAGTATTTTTTTAAGAGAGAGAGTGGGGGGAATTTCTTAATATTTATTTTTTAGTTTTCAGTGGACACAACATCTTTGTTTGTATGTGGTGCTGAGGATCGAACCCGGGCCGCACGCATGCCAGGTGATCGCCCTACCGCTTGAGCCACATCTCCAGCCCCTGTTTATTTGCTCTTGATCTTTCTGATTAGGTTCAGGAAAAGTCTTCTCTTGGTGCCTATTAGATTTTTTTCCCCTCTCCTGCCTAACCTCCTGAGTAGCTGGGATTACAGGCATTTGCCTCCATGCCCCACCTCCCAAAATTGAACCCAGAGGTGCTCTACCACTGAGCTACATCCCCATCCCTTTTATTGTTTATTTACTTACTTATTGGTACTGAACCCAGGGGCATTATGCCATTGAGCTACAAACCCAGAGTTTTTGTTTTTGTTTTTGTTTTTTGTTTTTTTGAGACAGGGTCTTGCTAAATTGCCTAGGCTAACTTTCAACTTGTCATCCTCTTGCCCCAGCCTTCAAAGTAGCTGGAATTACAGAATTACAGGTGTGCACCACTGTGTCCAGCTCTAATGAGTCTTTGATACCTTTCTAACAATAACTAAATTCCCTTTCAAAAGCAAACCATCCTCATATTTGGGTTCTCTAGCAGGCAAGCTCTAGATATCTGGCAGAAATTAAATAACATTATTTAATTATTATTAAATAACAATAATAATGTTATGTGCTTAATAAACACGCTTTCCCTGTGTTTATTAAGCATGTAATTTTTTTTTTGGTCATTGTTTTATTATATTAGTTTTTTGTGGTACTAGAGATTGAACCCAGAGGCACTTTACCACTGAGATACACCCCAGCCTGCCTTTTTTATTTTATTTTGAGATAGGGTATCACTGAATTGCCCAGGCTAATCTTGAACTTGTGATCCTCCTGCCTAATCTCCTGAGTAGCTGGGGTTACAGGCATTTGTCTCCGTGCCTCCCCCAATGATATTGTTCTTATGCAAACAATATTGGGTTCCTATTTCCAGTAGAGATATATGTAACATCTCTTTCTTAAATATGTCTATTTAATGATGAGTTCATGTAAAAGTAAATATTAAGCAGGTAATAAATGTTATTCTAGGTTATCTAAGGAGCAGATCCCAAGAAGGGATTAAGCATGCAAGGAATTTATTGAGGGGTAATACCTGAGAGGAATAGAGAGGGAGTTCAGAGAAGTTTGGGGAACTGTCAGACCAGGATTGATGGCTGCTCTGAGGTGTTATCTGAGAGTGGGAGGAAAAAGGAGGAGATGGGCAGTATGTTTTTTTTTTATGGTACTGGAGATTGAACCCCAGGGTGCTTTACCACTGAGCTACCCTTTTTTATTATATATTTTGAGACAGGATCTCATTAAGCTGCTGAGGGTCTCACTAAGATGCTGATGCTGCC